CAAGTGAGACCAAAAAGAAGGTCAGATCAGGTCTCCAAATGTTTTTCAGTCACAGAACTATCAGGTCTGTGATGCATCAGCAAACATCCTGCCTTCCTTGCTCCACGATATGTCAAGTACAACTGAGACGAAAAAGGGTCAGATCAGGTCTCCAAATGCTTTTCAGTCGCAGAACTATCAGGTCTGTGATGCATCGACAAACATTTTGCCTTCTTTTGAGATACTCCATACACAAACACGAATCGGGTGCCCAAAGTCAAGAACAACATGGCAGCACTATCACAAAAGTTGCATGTCAAACAATCGCTGAACGATATGTAGGGATGTGATACCGCTTTCCAATCATATTATAGAGGAGTACTTCGATGAAGTGCGGGCGACGTCAATATTAAGACAAGAGTCTGGGATCAAGATCACTGATCACTTACCAACTTTGATCACCTACCACTTCCACCTTCTCCCATCATCTCCCACGTGCGTTTCCGCATTCGCTTCCGAGGACCTCACTTCTCCATGGTGACCTGGGTATGGGACCGAAGAGGAGAGCGGCTGAAGTATACGTACCAGGACCATCCAACAAGGGGTGTCCTGGCTGGACTACCCCACACCTATAGGCTTCCAGACAGGGCACCCCGACAGGATGGTCCAGGTATGTTAAAGAAGATTATACAAGCATAGACCCCAAACAGCTTCAAAACGATTCGTTTGGACCAATATCAGTCAAACATCGATTTCTTGGTACGCCCTACTTTCACCCCAAGAGCAAACTGCTTCATCAATGAATTTTTGTCGGCAATGACATCGCTATTTGTTCGGCCACACTCCTCTCCAGTAAGCCGGGCCACAGAGACCAGCCACAGAGTTCAGGGGCGCGGCCAAGACAAGGACAAGAGGAGGACAAGACCCGGACAGGGCCACAGAGCCCAGCCACAGAGTTCAGGGGCGCGGCCAAAACAAGGACAAGAGGAGGACAAGAAGAGGACAAGGCCCAGCCACAGAGCCCAGCACAGAGGACAAGAGGAGGACAAGAGCCCAGTAAGCCGTCCATAGCACACAAGCACGCGCACGCTCGCCCTGCTCTCTCTCTCTCTCTGTGTTTCTTTCTCTGTCTTTCTCTTTGCACAGCGCGCTCTGACCGCGCCTTTCTGGAGCGTGAGCGCGCCCGTCCATAGCACACATGCACGCGCGCTCGCCCTGCTGTCTTTCTTTATTTATTTACTTATTTCTTTCTTCCTTCCTGCCTTTCTTCCTTCCTTCCTTCCTTGCTTGCTTGCTTGCTTGCTTTTCTTTTCTTTTCTTTTCTTGTCTTGTCTTGTATTTTGTTTCTGTCTTTCTTTCTTTCTGTCTCTCTCTCTCTCTCTTTTCCTTTAAGTTTCTCTTTCTCTGTCTTTCTCTCTGCAAAGCGCGCTCTGAGCGCGCCTTTCTGGAGCGTATTGCAGAGCGCGCGCGGGCGCGCCGTCCATAGCACACGAGCGCGCGCGCGGTCGCCCTGCTCTCTTTCCTTCTCTCTCTCTCTCTCTCTTTCTCTGTAAGTTTCTCTTTCTCTTTAAGTTTCTCTTTCTCTGTCTTTCTCTCTGCAGAGCGCGCTCTAAGCGCGCCTTTCTGGAGCGTATTTCTGCTCTCTTTCCTTCTCTCTCTCTCTCTCTCTCTGTCTGTCTGTCTTTCTTTCTTTCGTTCTTTCTTTCGTTCGTTCGTTCGTTCTTTCTTTATTTTTTTCCTCCTTTCTTTCTTTATTTCTTTCTTCCTTTCCTTTCCTTTCCCTTCCCTTCCCTTCCTTTCCTTTCCTTCCTTCTTTCTTTCTTTTTCTTTCTTTCTCTCTCTCTCTCTCTCTCTCTCTCTCACTGTCTCTGTCACTGTCTCTGTCACTGTCTCGGTCACTGTCTCTGTCACTGTCTCTGTCACTGTCTCTGTCACTGTCTCTGTCACTGTCTCTGGCACTGTCTCTGTCACTGTCTGTCACTCTGTCTCTGTCTGTCACTCTGTCTCTGTCTGTCTCTGTCTCTGTCTCCCTCTGTCTCTGTCTCTCTCTGTCTCTGTCTGTCTCTGTCTCTGTCTGTCTCTGTCTCTGTCTGCGAGCCACAGAGCCCAGCCACAGAGCCCACGCAGCCCCGCAGAGTTGACAGAGTTCAGGGGCGCGGCCAAGAGAAGGACAACAGGATTGCAAGGCCTGGACACAGCGCCCGGCGCGCCAAGACGACAAGAGGAGGACAAGACGAGGACAAGGCCCAGCCAGAGAGCCCAGCCACAGAGTTGACAGAGTTCAGGGGGAGGACAAGAGGAGGACAAGGCCCAGCCACGGAGCCCAGCCACAGAGTTGACAGAGTTCAGGGGTGTGGCCAAGAGGAGGACAAGAGGAGGACAAGGCCCAGCCACAGAGCCCA